ACAATCATATGGAAGAATCACCTTACTTGATGAATTGTCTGAGTATCCGTTTGACTACACATCCAGGGAGTCCTTGGCCAGTTTAAATCATATATAAGACAACCAATGTTCAAAGATTTGATAAATATGGTATCCTATTTTGTCTACGTTCATGGGTTATAAGTTCATGCTATCAACGTAATTCATTAGACCTCCTAGAATAGTCAAGTTTTATCATCTAATTTGGTCGATGACCCATACATGCTTGCCAGTTGTATGATCTGGACCCACCGTTTATGGTCATCCAAGAAATAGGAGGAATATGACATTCTGTCATCCGACCCCGCACTTTAGTACTTTACCCCATAATTAGACCTATATAATGTCTAACTTATAACCATTCCAAATTTATGCTAAAGGTAATATATATCCAATAAAGTTCCTAACCCAATGGTGCTATCATATTTATACAAGTAGCACATAACATAAATAATACATGTAAGCATTTAATATCGCTCATAAGTACTAATACTTTTAATGCAATATTATGTTCTTGATATTAACTACGCACTCACCTGACAAAATGTTTGGTGGTTGGTGAATCGGGCAGAGCTTTGCCTCATACCTTTTTCCAAAAGTCCTAGATGTACATACCGCTAAGTCTTAGCCTAATTTCATATTTCATGCAACTATTACCGTAAGGGCTTATATTTCTCAATAGTATTAATGAATACTAAGAATTCTATCAAATAAGAATCAACCAGGCAGGAAAGTTGGGAGGCAAGACCATTTCAGCATATAGCCCTTATAAAATCCAACAACCAAGCTAACATGACCATTCTAGACACTTATCTCGTAAGTGGATCAATTAGTATAACAAATTGGAATCACTAATAAATATTATTTATAGGTTCTTAATAACGAATTATAACTATAAATGTAAGTTACACTGACAATACTAGAGTGTAACTTAACTTACAAAGGTTCTTCATGACAAAAGTTAGGAAATTGCACTAGCAGAGCTTATACTCACTAGCTACTACTACTTTAGGGATCACAGGGCTTCGCCAAAGACTAAAACTGAGCAACAACAGGCTAAAACTCAAAGAATACCAAGAGAGTCAGTTTGTAGGGGTGAGGGATTTACACTGGAGACAGAATGTTATTTATAGGAAGGAAAACTGGCTTGTGTGCCACGCACAGACCAGGTGCACGCCACACACCTGACATGGTCGACCTATATGCACCTGACACGTGTTCGGATATGAGTGGGGCTGCGTGGTTGCTTATGGAACGCTTTGCGCGTCACACACGCGTGCCATTTTTCATATTTTCAAAATTGCGTATGTTCTTTATACGAGCATCATTTTTGATATTCTTTATATCCACATGTAGCTATCAATTGTATCTACAACTTTCATTTAGATTCCATCAACTAAATTTGATTTTTTTTTCACACATACTTAAGCTGTTAAAGCCCATATAAATGCATATCTTCCTCATCCGAAGTCCATTTTCGACTGTCTTTATATCGTTGGTATTCTATTAACGAGATCTTCGATTCTCGTTTAGGTTGTGTTGACTAAAAATTAACCGATCTAAAATTCGATTTATGTGCGCACACTGCTGCGTTGAATCTTAGAAAAACCATAACTTCCTATAATAAATTCAGTTTTATACGTTATCTATATGCATGCTCTCGGTTGAACGACTACTACGATTTTAATTTAGACTACTTAGGCTAAAAACAATTTATCAGGATTTCACTTTTTTACGATACGAAGAGTCATGTCGGTTTAATCGCGCAACATCGAATAAACATAATTTATTTGTTCTAAGTCGGATTCGAATGTTCCTTATATATCTAAAATCTTTATTGCATATACTACAATTAGGTTAAAATTGTTTGTTCTAAATAATCTTCTATTTTTTACGCTTATTTTAATCTTATTTACTATATTATTAAATGCTTATACAATTGCATAAGATATTGTATAAAACACATAAGCACATAAATATATGAATAATTATTTCTAATTTATTTATATAAATGTTACAATAGTTGACCAAAATAATTACAAATGATACACGCGACATGGTCCAGGGGGCCCACTATGTGGCAATGTCCTGTATGTTAACTGTTTGTCTTAATATTTTCATGAAGTGGGCAAGGAGGGCCCACTACATTGTTAGAAATTTGGGTTTAGAAAGGTTTGGAAATTCTGAGAATTGTGATTATCACTTTCAAATCGAAGTATTTGGTGGTACTCCCAAATCTTCAATTGGATAAGACTCAGAGAGACAAGAACAAAGAATGTTTGATGATATTTTCGTATGTACCAGAAAATGAGACCAAAACCAACTTTCAACAACTTTGTTTGAAAACTGTCATATGACAGTTTTAAACTGTCATAAAACCATAAAAACTGTCATAAAACGGATATATGGATAAGGGTCAAACCAATGGTCAATTATTTGGAAAATCAATTATTTGGACCCCGCCAGGGGCTGCCGCCCCTTGGACCCCGCTCCCAGGGGCGCTGCCCCCGGACCCCCGTTCGTTCAGGGGTTTCGCCCCTAAATGACAGTGTACTTTGAAACTTGATCAAACTTAAACAAGTGTGTACTCCACACCTTCCTTACTTGTTTAATATTTATCAAGATCATTTTTGGTCAACACAAAGTAATCTTATTACACTTAAATAACATTGATGATCAAAATCACCAACATACATGGAGGTTACTGAAGTTGACTTTAACCGTATAATTTTTGACTTTATTGACTTTTGGTTAAATTGTTGGGTCTAGAATGTAGCCTAAGGTGTGGCATTGTATAATTCGATGGGTGGATTGTAGCACTAGTTTTGTGACATTAAGAAGTGGCTTGTTCGACTTCGAGAGAGAAATACGAGTCTCCCCGTTATACTATGTAGGATGCTAGTTGTTTTTGTGACTTTTGCATTGTATGATGGGTGAGACTCATTATGATGGGCGGGCCACGATATTATGTGATATTTTGGGAAACTTACTAAGCTTTGTGCTTACGATTTTATGGGTTAAACATTTCATGTACTTCTGGTTCCAAAGGGAAGGACCCGATGTGGTCGCACAACATCCCCGTGATTTTATTCCGCACTTTTATTTGGATTTACTTGATGTTGAGAATATCTTTTTTGAATGGCGGATGATGTTGAGAATATTTATATTGTGGTTGGTCTTGAACAATTTAGTTGTATCTTTTTGGATGGTTTGAAAGTGAAATTTTTGCCGATATTTTTTTGTACGTTACAACAACATATTAATTTTGAGTTTGTCTCAAGTTAGATTGCTTTTTGTCAAGGCTAAAGTCCAAAGAGTTTAAGATATCTTAAAGAAACAAAACACAAAAGAATACATTATATAAATATTCATAAATCGTTGGAATAGGTATCAATCCAAACGAGAATACTATAAAGAATGCAACTAATTAACAAGTCATTCTAGATGGTATGTGTTATAAGAAATAAAACGATATTGACCTCTAGAATGGATTCTCAAGGGCTATAAAGTCACATAATTCTACTTTTGTTCCGTAATCTAAAAAAAATGTTACGTGAGACCCGGGTTTACACGTTTGTTTAAAAAAAAACTTCGATAATGTTATAATATTTTTAAGTTAATTTATGGTTTAATCTCAACTTTTATTTTTTAACAGAAAAATCCTGAATATTTTATATTTTGCTAAAATTAACGACATAATCCATATTCTTTTTCAACAAAAAATGACAGATTAATTATCGTATAAAATTAGATAATCGAGATTTTTCTAATTCAAAAAATAAATGTTTGGATTAAATTGTAAGTTGAAATATCGTAACTTTATAGGAGATTTTCCTTAAAAAACCAACATGGAAACATCACTTAATTTTAAGGATGTGAATTGGTTTGGAATCAGTTAAGGAGTGAACATGAAAACGAGAACCAAAATGAATACTTGCAATCCATTCAAATTGGTTTCGGTTCTATTAAGAAATGTGTTATCTAAAAAACTATTTTTTATCAAAGTTGGGCACAATGATGAACCGATGAAACTGAAAACCAAAACCAAATACCACCAATCGGTTTCGGTTCCATTTTAATTTTTGATTGAAAAATTCATCCCTACATCATTTATCTTATTTATATTAAAGAAAGTGATAGGTTAAAGAAGCATATAGTATTAAATGGCTTCTACCCCAATGGTATTCGATGTTGCCATTCATTTTTGAGGTCGAAGGTTCAAAATAGGGGTGTCGAACGGGTAAAACTTTCGGGTTTCGGGTAGAACAGGTATTTCCTTAAGAAAATAATACCTGATACCCGACCTATATTATAATTCGGGTTTTCAGATTTCGGGTTTGAGGGCGGGTCGGGTAATTAACGGGTATACCCGAAAATTTCTTAAATGACACTTATTGATATTATTATTTTTATTTTATTATTATTATATATTTTTTTAAATACATGTTTGTTGGTTTAATAAAGAATCGGGTAGAAAATACTCCATATAATTAATAAGTACATATATAATAACAATACAAATCATTATAATATGTTATGTACTTTTTTAATTCCATATCGTGCCATAGTGAGAAATTGAGAATTGTGATGACGGTTCAGGACTTCAGCTTCAACGTCGACTGTCGAGTCGTCGTTTATAAAAAGGAAACAAAGGGTTTTGTTTTATTTGAAGTGTGCGTACGTGACTGTATTATATATTTGGTATTATTTAAAAAACGAATTCGATGCCGAAAATAAATATTCATACCTAAAACCCAACCTATATTATTATCGGGTTAACCTATTACCCGAATGTTAATACCAGTTACCCGAATTCGAAACGTGTCGGATGGGTAGAATGGTTTCGGGTTTTTTTCGACAGACCTAGTTCAAATCCCACTGTCCACGGAAGTGAAATAATTTAGGAGTAATTAAATATATATTTGTATTAAAAAAAAGATTGAAAAAAAAAACATATAGGTAATGGTGTAACGCTGGTAAAAATGAAAGTGAGGTATAAGTATAACACCCGATAAAAGCGCTCCTGGTCCGCCCATTCAAAACCCTAGTTGCCGCCAAACGTGTTGGCGCCAGATCTAAACCAAGTATATTACTATTTCCTCGTCTTCATCACCGAAGCTATATTCTAACCACATCTACTATCTACCTCTCACTTCTTGCCGGAGATACAACCATTCTGGTAAATCACAAATATTCTATTTAGAAATTCCAGTTTGATGCTTATTTTAGGACTTTAATCGCTTCTTGTTTATACGTCTAGTAGATCTGCCTTGATTTGGTTGGTATGTAGATTTTTTTGCTCGCGTAATTTACAATTTTTGTTAGTTTGTCGGAAGGAGGTTCAAATCCAGTTTTAGAAAAAGACGAAGGGAGCTTGTAGGCGTTCGATTAGCTCTTGCTTGGAATTTATCCCAAGTAACTTCGTGCCAAATACGCTTTACTAATTATTTAGGGTTTCTTTTAGATTCGCTAGATTTTTCATGTTATTTGACTGCATTTAGGTTTGCGCGACTTGTTCATGATCTAGTTAAGGTAGAGTCCGCACATCACTTTCTCTCTGGTCGTTATGGTTTCACGAATCGATATTATTTCGGGCGTTATTGGTTATTAATATATTTTTTTGCTTAATCGAAGAGGAATACTTTTAATCATTCGTCGTAGAAGAGTAGATGGTTGAGTCTTTGGAATTAGTGGGAAACCAATGAGTGTTAGTCGAAAGGGGGCACAAAAGTGATACCATGTACATTTGCATCTGTAAGAAATAGTTGATTCATCCAAATATTTTTTGCTTGTCCAATCTCAATGTAAGTCTATCCCTGAAACAAGGTTTTTAGTTAATAAATGTTTGGTGCTACTGAATGGTGTAATGAGTTCATGAGTTTTGTCTTTTGAGAGCATTACAGTCAATGACATGCAACCATTACTTATAGTTATAATTGTATTTGTTTATACATGCAGATATTGTTGTGGTTTGAATGTTTGGATTGAGTCTTGATTTTAGGTCCTTAATGTATAATCTTTCAACTTATGTTTAATAAGCATTGATATCTTTTAGGTATTTTTAGTTAATTTCAATGTTCAATTTCTTCATATGGTTAACTTATTCGGTACATCTCCATATGAAATCATTCTTTAATTATATCTGCTTTCTTTTTTGGACAGAACAGTTACACCATAATAGAGTGTTCAAGCGACACTCAAAGGGGTTGCTTGTCAAGTAATGAAGTTAAGACCTTGCATTACTTCTCATTTTATCTCAGTTATAGAAGACGGCATGGTGAAAAAAGTTCACAACAGGGATTCAAATGGAAGCCCATTTGTCAGATTCAAGAATCTAAAAGATATATATAAAGCTGAAGATGCTATGCTCCAGAATGGTTATGATGGCACAAAGTTTAATAGTATCAGTACAGGGAATGAACACACAAACCTGCCCTTTGCAGATAGAACAACAAAAACAAGAAATGGTTATGCTTTTGAAGAGGATCAACCAGAATCTTCATCAAATGAAGATAGTTCTGATGAGCTGACATTATCACAGTTTGTTAAGAAGTCTGTAAAAAAGAAAAGAAAAGCTTCAGAATCTGTTCTGACTTTAAAGTCAGATTATGATGATTCGGATCTCAGTCAACCACTGTTTAAATTTAGAGTCAAGGCTCCAAAGACTTCACCCAAGAAGATGCCTGCAACAGAAAGTTTTCCAGGATCTGTTAATGTCAAAGTTGAAGAATCTTGTGAAGTGGAGTCTTTTGAATTCAGAAAGAGTTCTCATTGTAATGGGCCACCATCATTCATTGCATCTGAATCTGGAATCAAAGCTGAAGAATCTTTTGTATGCAGAGAGAGTACTCACAATAATATGCCAGCAATATTCATTGCTTCTGAATCTGGGGTTGTTTTTCTCAATCATGAACTAAAGAGCAATAAATCAGGTTCATCTACAAATGAAGGGGAAATTTGCGAGATCAATGAAGCTTCACTTGATGATTTGGATGACACCAAGGACATGGTGTTGGATGATGAAGAAAACATGGAAAGTTTAACTGTAAGTTCCATGGAAGAAGATTCTCCTGTTGAAGATCTGACTACAAGCACATCTGATTACTCTCAAAGTCAACCAACACCTGAGGAAGTCAACTATATCTGTGATCTTCAAGATTCAGTGAATGCTGATGTGGACTTGAACACTTTGAATTCAGAAAACATTTGTGTTTCTGAGGAGACTGCTATTATTCAGGACCAGCCCTCTGTTATTCCTCCTAATGCTAATGCTGATTCAGAAGAAAAGTTCTTCAATCAAAACTATCAAACTGAAATCATGAAAGAGGCATCAGTGATTAGAAACCCGAATTGCATAGAACCCCGAAATCCTGAAAGGCTTCCTTCAACAAGAAAGGTACTTGCTAATTGTATATTCAGTTATTCATCATCAAATTTCTTATTTTCTACTTTGAAATATGCTTATCATGTGTGTATTTTACAGGCTATTTCTCCAACCTCTCAAGAAAAGCTATGTATGGCAATGAAATCCCCTGAGTTATTAGATGACATGGACCATTACAGTAAGTCAGTAGATACAATAGTTTCACATGCTTTCTTTTATGCTCTTAATTCACAAAGCTGTAGTAAAACACTCCAATATCATGTTTATTCTGGTTTTAACATATGATCTTGACTTTTCAGAATGCAAGGAGAAACTGTCCTTTGAAGAACAATCTGATAACAAGTTTTCATCAACTACTTCAAATATCAACTACAGTGAACCAAATTCTCTTCCTCAACAGGCGAAATCTGTTATCTCTACCAAAACCATGGTTAAAAAACCAAAAAGTTACAAAAAAGGTTCACCTGAAAAAAGCCTTCCACCTAAAGGCTGTCTGGATGGGCCTCGGCTATGCCGCTCGCTTCCCCGCCTTAGCACAGGGTGCACCACCGTTCAAGGGTGTTCTGAAAGTGCCATTGCTTTCTCACAGAGACAGATGCATGACATTGAATCTTTAGCATCAAAGCTGATGAGTGAATTGAACTCCATGAAAGTCATTGTAGAAGAAAAATTGCTCTTTGAAGCTTATCGTTCCCCATCCTTGAAAAATGAGGCAGATGAGGTATTAAAATTTTCAAAACATGCCGGGTTACATTATGAGAGGGGCAATTATGTCTTTTTTCTTACACCTTTTTTGTTCATTTACTTGACTATTTTATTGACACTTTTTGGCAGGTGAAATCAGCCATTAAAAGTGCAACAAAAACCGAAGAATCGGCTAAAAAATGGTTGTCCATGATGACAAGGGATTGCAATCGTTTCTGTAAAATTATGGTTTGTGTTTTTTTCAACATAAACCTTTCAAAGCAGTTATAATTAGATACATTAAAAAAATACATAGATGTAATAAGTAGAAATGAAAGTAGGATGTTATAATATGGCTTTAATGATTGTATATTTTGTTTGCAGAAACTGAATGAGGACAATAATGATTCTGGTAGTGTTGTGAAGAGCGTGATTGAGGAGAAGGCTCCTCCTGTTCAAAAAGAAAAAGAAAGGAAGAAAATAAGTTTTGCAGATGAAGCTGGTGGAATGCTTTGTGATATCAAAGTCTATGAGATTGAGATTGAACAAAATTCCTTGGAATTGAAGCAAAATCCTGAATGACAAGAATCTTGTTGTAGCAGCATTTTTTTGTTGTTTGTTGTTGATACCCAAATGCTTGTTTATGCTCTAAATATAACCACCCATTTAACCATTACTTTATTGAAATCTTTTTTGGTTTTTAAGCAGTTATTTGTGATGGCTTTTCATTGGGATTTTAGATCCTTGGCAATAACATTAACATACATGATGGTCTGTTGTGACTTGTGAGTGTGTATAGTATTAATATGTGAAACTAATGATTTAATCATATACTGAACAAACGCAAGGTTGTTGTCATCTTCCGACTTTGCATAATCAGCTTTGAAAAATCCTACCATAACACACAACTTATATCAAAATTTTCAATTTAGACACATAACCTACGATTAGTTATCTCTGAGAAATCCAATGATGTTGATTTTTAATTTGTATTTCTTCAGCATAACACATAACTTATCTCAAAATTTTCATCTCTTCCTTCCAAGTTGTATTTCATTATGTGGAAATTGTTTTGAACAAGACTTCAATTACGTGGCATTGTAGAGATACGAAGCGCTTTTACTTAAAAAGTAGAAGCCATATATCAAATAAAAAAACCTTAGGTTAGGTGATTCATAATGAAGAGGTTGCAAGTATACATGTTTTCTAAAGAGCTCAAGAGAAATGAGACCCATTGATTTAAAAATTGAACTAGGAATTGGAAGGGTGCGCCAGGCCTTAGCAGTAGTGTAAGACCAAGGCGACGCGTGAAGAACCCCAGCAGCAAGCTACTGTAATGGGCCTTCCCCCATAAAAAATAAGATTAATATCGAGTAGGCCGATGGCCTACATATCAGATATTAAACTGATAAGAACAGATACTACACTTGATCTTAGCCAAAAGGCCGAGAAAGGTATGCCTCTTCCATTCCAGGGCTTTCCATTTTATAGCCATCTTTCTCTTCCTGCTTGCTTCACTAAGCCGATGTGGGATGCAAAGAACTTCACTACCTTCACACTCTTGGCTGTTCCTTCAGAACGAAAATTGTTATGATAATACTGTCAAGCTCTTTGTGTATATATTTAATTTAAATAAAATTTATACAATATATGCTTATAAGGTATAACTGTATTACTTTTGTCATTTGTGTTTAGTATAATTCAGTTAACTTACGTAATATGAAAATAACTTGATGGAGATTAATTATATATGATAAGTTTTTTCAAAGTTCAAACCGATTCTCATTCCAACTACAACCAAATGTCACAACCTAAAAATATAGTTGGCAACCTCTTTCATATACAAATAAAAAGAGGGAGATAGTGTGAAATGATTATATTTTCAGCTTTTAGAGTTGATTTGGTTTTATGGAATAAAATTGTAAAAAAGAATGGATTAATAATATAATTGAATGAGGTGATGAAACGATTCATGACATCAGTTATCATGTCTGATGGAGTATAAAAAAGATGCATTCAAAGATGTTGTTTGGCATGCATGAATAACTAATTAAACGAAATTTAAATTGGTAAATGATGAAAATTTGTTTGTTTAATGTAAATGAATTATGATCCAGATTGAGAATATGTCTTAGATATTTAATACATATGTATTTAATATTGTGATCAATATGTTTTTAGATATTGCTTTAGAAAATGGGATCATTTAAATTGAAAATGAACATAATCCAACAACATAGATTAACACATTTTTAGCAAGATAATTATAACCTACCAAAACCCAAGACTGAACCCCAAAATATTTTATTTAATTGCTGAATCAAGCAACTCAATAGTTTACTTCAAAATCACCAAAAAAACTATGGATGATTTTGTTTTCTCTATTTTCCATGTATCCTCATTTATGACTAATATGCTATGTGATAGACATGATACATTCATGGATTGGTTAACTTCAAACATACAACTCAGGTCTTCAATTTTTTAATGGACAAGTGATTTAACACAAACTATTTTTTTGGACTACTATCGAAAACAATTTTCTCCAAACCGGATCGGGTTTTAACCGAACAACAAAAAATGTTTAAACTTTATAATCATTTACTTATAGTCATAACATGACCTCTTCTTCTATCTCTAACTATGATGAAAATATTATAAGTATGCACATGTACAAAATACAAACCCCATCCTCCTCGACTCCAACATAGTCTTCATTCCTCTAAATCTCTCACATCATGATCATGTTGCTAGCAACATTAAAACCTTTTAAACCATATGGCTAATCTTATTTCCATTTTTCTTGTCGCCTCCTCAGTCCTCAACCCTTGGTGGTCCCATCATGAACATTTTGGAAGACGATTTCAACGACATCACAGAGGCATGAAATCTTTGTACTTAAGAAACTTGTCAATGGCCTCGTGCTTGCTGTCATATGACCCAAGATTCTCCTTCAGAAAATTCTCCACCTCTTGATTGCTCGAGACAAAATTCTAAGAAACTTATGTCTGAAAAAAAAAGCATATAAATTAATAACATTCTACATGTGTAACTAATTTATTGAAATAAAAAAAAGTATAATGCACAACATATGTTACATTTATATTACAACTTTGAACTTTTAGGTATTTATCAATGTTTCAAGACAATTTGGTGTTAAAGTAATATACCTTTTATTTTGTGTTTACTTTATAAGTAAATACTAATAATAAGTTACAATTTATATTACTTTTTTTAAGGACCTTAATGAGATCTTTTAAATGATATAGTATGTACACAAATTGATATTTAAAAACTATGCAAGTTAATTAAAACATGATAAGGTTAAAGGGTTAAAACATGATAAGGTGATAAGGTTCAAGAAGCATGCGTCACATCTGCCACACATTGACTATTGTACATGAGGTATTAAACAAAAAGGTAATATGTTCATTTTTATCATTTATCACAATAGTAGGATCCAAAATGAAGACCCGTTAGCACATTTTGTGTTTTAACTAGTGGCGTCACACCAAAAGTATTGGTTGGAAATGTTTTCATTTGTTGCCCTGTTGGAACCTAAGATTGTTACCGTTTATAATGTTTCGTTAAAGACACATAGAATGATGAAAATGTGTTTGTTTTTGTCTCGTTTTTTGTCGTTGTTTTTCTTGAAGGACCGTTTATGTCATTAACATGAAAATGAAACAAATAACTCTAAATACAAGGCAACCGCTTATCTATTCCAGATCTCTCTATCCCCTCTCCTAAACGACCGATGAAAGGTATATCAGAGCATTATCTCCAGAAATTTAATCTGGCTTACAAGATCATTATGACCCAAATTCAACATGAAGACATACTACATTGACCCAAGGTCATTTGGAATGTCACGTTTCAATTAATTATACAATAGATCAAAGAAGATCATTGAATCGTTATGATTGAAGTTTGGCTTAGTGATCCCTAACTATAGTCTCGTGAAGTTACAAAGATGTCTCGACAAAATCATGTATAAATCGTCTCGTGGGATAGTACCAGTTAAGTAATTTATTGGTGATGACATCTAACCATACCAAGCTCTTACAGTCCCCAATGTCAGCTGGAATGTTTCTGAAAAATCAGTTGTTCCCAGCATTAAGAATGGCAAGGGAAATCCAATTCAAATTGGTGCGGTTGCTTCAACTATTTGGAATTCACATCAAACTGCTAAAGATTGGTGTGTGTGTGTGTGTGTGTGTTTAGTGGTGGTCTGAGATGGTAGTTAGTGATTAACGAGAAATAAAAGTATAACAAAAAGATAAATAGAAAGGCGAAATAAGTACTCTAAAAAAACTACCGGCTTAACTGTTAGAGATTTAATGGTCCAAGGGCCACAGGTGCAATAAATGCAAGCTATATGGACTAGTCATGTAAAAATATCCAACAGTGGTACCAAAAATATAAATGTTGTCATACCACAAAGACCAGATGTGTGCTTATACTCGAAATCTTATTTCTACAACAAAATAACGGTAACCATAAAAACTCGTAAGTTACAATACATCTTCTTTTTAATCCTTTACTAAAAACGAAAGTAGAAAAATTAAATATTAAACTAGGAATTGGTGGGGTGCGCCTGGCCTTGGCAATAGCGTAAGACCAAGGCAACGCATGAAGAACCCCAGCAGCAAGCTACTGTAATGGGTACTCACCCCCATAAAAAATAAGAATAATATCGAGTAGGCCGATGGCCTACATATCAGATATTAAACTGATAAGAACAGATACTACACTTGATCTTAGCCAAAAGGCCGAGAAAGGTATGCCTCTTTCATTCCAGGGCTTTCCTTTTTATACCCATCTTTCTCTTCGCTGCTTGCTTCACTCAGCCGATGTGGGATGCAAAGAACTTCACTGCATTCCTTCACCAAGATGATTTTCATAATAGTGTTACAGTTTTTTGATATATATTTAAATCAAATTTATACAACATGTGTGTATAGTTGTATTATTTTTATTATTTTTGTTTTAAGTCTTATTCAGTTAACGTACATGAAGAGTTAATGTGAGACAAAAAAACAACTTGATGGGGATAATTATAAACTTATAAAAAAATTTATTGCTAGTCTATACTACAGCCAAATATCAAAACCCAAAAGACATAGTAGTTGTCAATATCTCCCTTTTTTGTTGTTATAGTTGATCATCGCCCTCTTCCAAGCCATCATCAAGATTTGTATTTATCCTAGTCCTTTTCATAAGTATTGGCCACCTCTCTCGTATACAAGTATAAAAAGTGGGAGATTGTGTGTTTGTGTGTATTTTGGCTTTTTTTGATATAGTTTTTTGAATTCTAAAAGTGTTTTTAGATAAAAGTGTTTGTTTGCTTATATTGGTTGTAAAATGAGTTTTTTAAAAAGCATTTTGATAAACTTTTATAGTGAAAAAAGTCTATAAGTCAATAAGATACTAAGGGGGTGTTTGGGATTGCGTTTGAAAAATGTTTATTTGCTTATTGGCTTTTTGAAAAGCTACTAAGTCAAAAAAAGTGTTTGGCAATCTCAAAAACTATTTTCATAATAGCTTTTCCATAAGCTTCAATAAGCACTTTTTAATAAACA